CTCCTCCTCCTCCTCCTCCTCCTCCTCCTCCTCCTCCTCCTCCTCCTCCTCCTCCTCCTCCTCCTCCTCCTCCTCCTCCCCCCCCAGGGGAGGAGAGCGGACGGGCGGCGGGGCGGAGAAGGCCGCACGCGAGGGGCAACACGCCGCGAGAGGGGGGGTCTGGGCGAGTCGTGCTCGCGCGGTAGCCTGGAAGGCGGCGAGGAAAGCCCGAGGGCCCGTTCCCCTCGCGAGACCCGTCTGCTGCACGGCGGCACGGGGCACTCGCGACCGGCGAGGGCGGCGGCGACCCAGACACTCGACGGCGACAGCGCGGGGGGGTGGGGGGAGAGGATGGGGCAACAACGGGAGCGGGAGGGGGGGGGAGAGGGGGAGGGGAGATGGGAGGAGGGGGAGAGGGGCAGGGGGCCGGAGAGCTAAGGAGGCGGCCGAGTCACGCTCACCTGCCAACATTGAGGAGGCTAGGCTGGGCCCGAGGCCGAAGTGAAAGGGAGGGGCGAGCGGGCGGTCCACGCCTGCCACCGCCGCCCGGAAAGAACACGACATACTCGTACTTTTTTCACCGAGGCCGAAATGCCAGCTGTGCTGCACACCTGCCGTGCGTGGGTTCGGTGGTATCGGCCACCCAGCCGGGACAGAGGTTAACAAAACAACACTCCCCGCCCCGCCCTGGAGGAAACAGTCGTGGCAAGCGGCTGCCAACAGCGCCAAGGAGGACGCGAGCAGCAGAGACAGATCCGATTCACGAATGCTCTGGATGGGGCAATCATCGCCCCCCCCTTGGATCCGCTGGGGCACGTGCTGTCGGAACGGGCGGAGGGGGGTTGGAGAAGGAGGAGGAGGAGGAGGAGGAGGGGGAGGAGGCGAAGGAGGAGGAGGAGGAGGAGGAGACGGAGAGGAGGGAGGAGGAGGAGGAGGAGAGGAGGAGGAGAAGAAGTAGGGGAGCAGGAGGAGGAGGAGGAGGAGGAGGAGGAGGAGGAGGAGGAGGGGGGGATGGGCAAGCTCCGTCGGAAGGTCAGTCGCCCCCCCTCGTTTCGTATCCTACCCAGGGTACCACTGACAGACAGAGCGGGCCCGAGACGGCCACGAGAAGTGAGAGGGGTCTCGCCTCGGGCCAACGGCAGCCCGCGATGGAGGCGGCGGCGGCACAGCGACAGCGCTCGACGACGACGACGACGATGACGAAGGGAGGAGGAGGGAGGAGGAGGAGGCGGAGGAGGAGGAGGAATAGGAAGAGGAGGACCGGAGGGGGGGGGCGTAGAAGAAGAACGAACGCCATAAACATACACTTTTGGCGCTCCGCGCGGATGTCTTGGATGCGCGGTGGACCCCCCTCCAGGGCGCGGGGGGCGCGCCAGGGGCGGCGCTGAAAGCGCCGCCAGAAAGGGCCCAGCGCGGATCCAACCAAGACATCCGCGCGGAGCGCCAAAACTTTGAGGGCAGAGGGCAGAGGGCAGAGGAGAGTGACTACCTACCAGACCACCCAAACCTAACCCAAAGACCCGAATTTGATCCGGATTTCGGGGGGGAAGGTACGGGTCCCATGTGTTTTCACAATGTTCCCCGACCCCCCCCACTGGAAATGGAGGGCAGATTGAAGCATTCGGGTTGGGTTGGGGTGGTTTGGTTGGTGGTGAGAGAGGGGAGGAGGGCGAGGAAAGGAGGCGGGACAAACAAAAAGCCCGAGGTCTCTCCGCCCCGCCCCTGTTTTGGACGCCCGAAATGGGCACGGAAAGAATGGGTACAATGCCCAACAGCAAATGTTGTCCCAAACCAACAGCGGCCGCTGTTGGGAGGGCGGCCTCCTGTCTCAAATAGACGCAGGCCGCGGCTGCACCGACAGCGAGTCCTGTTCAAAATGAACAGGAACTGCTGCTGGGCATTGTACCCAAATTTTCCGTACCCATTTCGGGCGTCCAAACCTGTGGCCGCCCCCGCGGCTCCTGCATATCTCCCGCCGCAAGCTTTCGGCGGGGTCGCCGCGGGGTCGGGCGCCGGTGACCGCCCGCGCGGGGGGGAAAGAGAGCGGCGCGGGCGGGCGGGGTGCCCGTGGAAAAGCAAAAAACAAAGTGGCAGAGTCGCGCTCGAGCCGGGCGCGGAGCGGGCGGAGGGTGGGGGAAGCGACTTGGGTTTCTGATGCTGCTGATGATGCTGCTGCTGATGATGATGCTGATCATGATGAGGATGATGATGAGGATGATAATGACGATGGTGATGACGATGGCGATGATGATGATGCTGACGATGTGATGATGATGCGGATGATGATGATGATGATGATGATGATGATGATGATGATGATGATGATGATGATGATGATGATGATGATGATGTTGATAATGATGATGAGAATGATGATGATGATGATGATGATGATGATGGTGATGGTGATGGTGATGGTGATGCTGATGGCAATTATGATGACAGTGGTCGTGGTGATGGCTGTGATGATGTTGAACATAACGGTGATGATGTTGAGGATGATGCCGATAATGATGACAATGATGATACTGGTGCTGGCGAACATGATGATGGCGATAGTATTAATCAATGACGCTGCTGATGATGCTGATTCTCATGTTCAGGGGGGTTTCTTCGTCCAACACAAACAACTCGGGGGCCGAACCTTCGAGTCGGACGCCAGCGTGAGCCCGGCGCTGCAGCGGCAATGCCCGCAGTTCAAGGAAGGAGTGGGAAAGAGGGCACAGTGACATCCGTAGCCATCACTGTTATCGATGCCATCCGCATCGCTGTCATTCTCTCAGTCGTTCCTCCTCCAACCTTTCCTCTTTCCCGCCCCTTTTCCCCGAAGCTCCCCGAACTCAACGTATCAATCCACCGGGCCCGCCATGCCTCTCTCAGTCCTCCTCCGCATCCAGCTTCTTAGTTGCATCGTCATCGTCATCATCATCATCATCATCATCATCATCATCATCCTCATCATCATCATAATCACCATCATCATCACCACCACCATCATCACAACCACCACAACCACCACCATCATCATCATCATCCTCATCATCATCGTCATCATCACCATCATCAACATGGTCATCATCGTCATCATCATCATTATCATCATCATCAGCATCATCATCATCAGCATCATCATATTCATATCCATCACCATCATTACCACCACATCGTCATAACCCCCACCATCATCATGATCATGAGCATACTCCTTTCACTCCTCCTCATCAACACCGTCACCGTCACCATCATCATCGTCATCATCATCATCATCATCACCACCATCATCATCATCACCATCATCACCACCAAAACCACCATCATCATCATCATCATCATCACCACCATCATCAGCAGCATCACCATCACCATCATCATCATCATCACCATCATCATCATCATCATCATCATCATCATCATCAGCGGCAGCAGCAGCAGCAACAACATCAGCAGCAGCATCATCAGCAGCAGCATCATCCCTCCACCCCTCTCCCATCCTCCCTCCTGGCCGTTCGTCTCCCGGAGGCAGAGGAGGAGGGCCCCTGACGCATCTGCGCCGAAGGATCCGCGCGGATCCTGGCTCCACGCATCCCGCGGCCGGGGAACGCTGGGCTCCGCCTCCCCAGCCCCGGGGGCCGCCCCTCCGACGGCCTTCCATCGCCGCCTCCATGCCCCCCGCCTGCCTTCCGCCTCCCAAGGACACCCGCCTCTCTGAACCTGCGACCTGGACGTGGTCGGGGCGCATCGGGAGGGAACGTGGCGTCCCGAAACGGTGCGATGACAGACCGTGTGGTGACCTCGAGATCCCCCAAGACCTCACCGCACGGTCTGTCACCGCACGGTCTTGGGACCCTGGAGGCTCCTGTCGCCCGAGACGTCCTCGGAGAGAACCCCGAGTCCCAAAACCGTGCGGTGACCCCGAAGCCCCATCGACTCACCACACGGTGTGGTCACCACCCCGTTTTGGGGGCCCCCGAGGGAAGCATCCCACAATGCCATCCATCCGGGTGGAGCCCTTCCTCCGTCGGCCGGAGCAGCGGCGATGAGGAAAACAGAAGCTACCGCTCTGCGGCCAGGGAGAAAGCCATTGGCGGGGAGGAGGGAGGAGGAGGAGGCGGAGGAGGAGGAGGAGGAGGAGGAGGAGGAGGAGAGGGCAGGAGGAGGAGGATAAAGCGAAACATTCATTCCTGCCTGTCTTCGGGCGGGTGGTAATGGGGAGTGACCTCAATCGGGGATGACAAGCACATGCCCTGATGCGAGCCTTTAGGACCTCCTGATAAACCGCCTTCTGAAAAACCCAGCCGCCTTCTGACAAGGTCCCCCCTGCTCAGAGTATAAAGGGCCCCCGAGGTACCCCGGGCTATATAAAAAACACGAGGGTAAACACTCCTTAGAGCCTTTTCTCTACCCCGGATTCAGGCTCAGGTCGGGCATGTTGAAACCTTGTCCGTCGGATATGTTAGAACAAATACGTGGACGGTTCGTACATCTACGAACCTTATGCGTACTTGTTTGCATATCCGACGAACAAATCAATCATGGGGTAAGCAACTCTGTAGTTGATCCCCTACTCGACCCCTGCGGGCAAGACTTGTGTCCATATCCACTGCAGATTTCGGCGGCGAGCATAGGGGAGGGGAAGTAGGCCTTTCGAGGAATGTCTTAAGCTTTCCCTGAGGAC